CCCAGCAGGCCTCGAAAGTGGCGACAGTTTCACAGACTGCAGCCCCCCAGCTGGCACGCAGCGACGAGCGAGGCAAAGGGCAAGGGGGAAGAGAGGGGCGGGAAGGAAGGAGACGCGCGAGCAGTGCTCTATTCAAAACGAGAACCCAACGCAGGAGGGTTGGGAATTGCCCTGTGACGTACCCAACCCATGTGTATCAGTGGAAACGAGGAGTTGGCCGAAACTTGTATGGACAATCAACTTGATGTGTAAGCTACTTGGGAGGCGTCACTGTGCTGGGCCCCGCAAGCAGGCCTCGAAAGTGGCGACAGCTTCACAGATCGCAGCCCCCCAGGGATGGCGAGGTCTAATTTGAATATGCGTGTGGCGGCACTGGCTGGGCCCCTCCGCAGGGCCTCGAACGTGGAAGATTATAGTTTCACAGACGCAGTCACCTTAGTCTAGGGATGGCGAGCAATGTGAGTCTGCGGTGGGTACCCACTGTGCTGTGCCCCTCAGCAGCCTCGAAAGTGGCGACAGTTTCACAGATCGCAGCCCCCCAGGGATGGCGAGGTCTAATTTGAATCTGCGTGTGGCGTCACTGTGCTGGGCCCCGCAAGCAGGCCTCGAAAGTGGCGACAGTTTCACAGATCGCAGCCCCCCAGGGATGGCGAGGTCCCATTTGAGTCCGCCGTGGGTACCCACTGTGCTGGGCCCCCCAGCAGGCCGCGAAAGTGGCGACAGTTGCACAGATCGCAGCCCCCCAGGGATGGCGAGGTCCCATTTGAGTCCGCCGTGGGTACCCACTGTGCTGGGCCCCCCAGCAGGCCTCGAAAGTGGCGACAGTTCACAGATCGCAGCCCCCCCAGGGATGGCGAGGTCGAATCTGAGTCTGCGGTGAGTACCCACTGTGCTGGGCCCCTCAGCAGCCCTCGAAAGTGGCGACAGTTTCACAGATCGCAGCCCCAGGGATGGCGAGGTCTAATTTGAATCTGCCGCGATTACCCTCTATGCCGGACCCCCCAGCAGGCCTCGAAAGTGGCGACAGTTTCACAGATCGCAGCCCCCCAGGGATGGCGAGGTCTAATTTGAATCGGCGGTGGGTACCCACTGTGCTGGGCCCCCCAGCAGGCCTCGAAAGTGGCGACAGTTTCACAGATCGCAGCCCCCCAGGGATGGCGAGGTCCAATTTGAATCCGCCGTGTGTACCCACTGTGCTGGGCCCCCCAGCAGGCCTCGAAAGTGGCGACAGTTTCACAGATCGCAGCCCCCCAGGGATGGCGAGGTCTAATTTGGTCCGCGCGTGGCGTCCCAATGTGCTGGGCCCCCCAGCAGGCCTCGAAAGTGGCGACAGTTTCACAGATCGCAGCCCCCCAGGGATGGCGAGGTCTAATTTGAATATGCGGTGGGTACCCACTGTGCTGGGCCCCCCAGCAGCCCTCGAAAGTGGCGACAGTTTCACAGATCGCAGCCCCCCAGGGATGGCGAGGTCTAATTTGAGTCACCCGTGGGTACCCACTGTGCTGGGCCCCCCAGCAGGCCTCGAAAGTGGCGACAGTTTCACAGATCGCAGCCCCCCAGGGATGGCGAGGTCAAAGGCAGGGGGGAAGAGAGGGACGGGGGGGGGCGGGAAGGAAGGAGACGCGCGAGCAGTGCTCTATTCAAAACGAGAACCCAACGCAGGAGGGTTGGGAAAAAGCATCTGATCGTATCGGGGAGCGTCAAGAATTCCCATACGCACTGAAAGACTCCCATCGGACCACACAGGCAAGAAATGAGCGGGGTAGACGAGGTGGAGCAGACGTGCTGAAAAGCAAGCACTGCGTTCTAGAAGCACTGCACGCTGGAAACAATAGCTCGCGAAAACTGATACGTGCTGGGGATACAACCCATACGCAACATTATGTCAAATCGACCGACGCCTGGAAACAGCGTTTCGCTGGAACAATTGCCCGAAAGGCTCCGCCAGCGCACAGTCTATGAAGTAGGCGCTTAGCAAGCATACAGGGCCAGAACGTCGCCCCTCACGACCGTGAGGACCGGGCACCGGAAGTGAACGATGGGCGACAGAAGAGGAAGGAGGTAGGAGGTAAGAGGTCCTGTAGTCCCTCCAAGCGCTGCACAACGCATTTACAAAGGCCCCCCGCCCAAAATCAGATGTTCACCCTCCCTCTGATCCTACAATCCCCCTCCAGCCTCCGCCGCTGCCCCCGACCCCATTGCCTGTCCCCCTCCCCCTTCCACATCCCCTTCCTTCCGTACCTGATCCTCCTCCTCCTCCTCCTCCTCCTCCTCCTCCTCCTCCACCTTTCACCTCCCACCCACCCACCCTCATCCTCCCCCCCCCCTCATTTTCCTCCGCCTCATCTTCCACCCTTCCTCCCTCCCTCCCTCCCGCCCGCCTTCCCTCCTTGTATCCCCCGTCCTACTCATCCTCATCTTCCTCCTCTCCCTCCTCCTCCTCCACCTTCTCCTCCTCCTTCTCCTCCTGCTCCTCCTCCTCCTCCTCTTCTTCCTCCTCCTCGTCCTCCTCATCACCATTATCATATCATCATCATGATCACCACCACTACCACCACCACCACCACCACCATCATCATCATCATCATCATCATCATCATCATCATCACCACCACCACCACCACCATCATCATCATCATCATCAGCATCAGTATCAGCATCAGCATCAGCATCAGCATCATCAGCATCAGCATCAGCATCACCATCATCATCATCATCATCATCATCATCATCATCATCATCAACACCATATCATCATCATCATCATCATCATCATCATCATCATCATCATCATCCATCATCATCCTCATCATCATCATCATCATCATCATCATCATCATCATCGTCATCAGCATCCTCATACTCGTCCTCGTCGTCGTCAACCTCATCATCATCATCATCATCATCATCAGCATCATCATCATCATCATCATCATCATCATCACCACCACCACCACCACCATCATCATCATCATCATCATCATCATCATCATCATCATCATCATCATCATCATCATCATAATCGTCATCATCATCATTATCATCATCCATCATCACCATCAGCATCATCATCATATCATCAGCGTCATCACCAACATCGCCACCACCAACACCATCATCATCAGCATCAGCAGCATCATCAGCATCATCAGCATCATCATCGTCATCAGCATCAGCATCATGATCATCATCAGTAGCATCAGCATCATCATCATCAACAGTATCAGCATCATCATCATCATCATCAGCAGAAGCATCGGCATCATCATCAGCAGCATCAGCATCAGCATCATCATCATCGTCATCAGCATCATCATCGGCATCATCATAAGCAGCAGCAGCATCAGCATCATGATCATCATCATCAACATCAGCAGCATCATCATCATCAGCATCATCCGCATCGCCATCAGCATCAGCATCATCATCGTCATCAACATCGTCATCAGGAGCATCATAATCATCATAATAATCATAATCGTCAACAAAGTCAGCATCATCATCAGCAGCATGATCATCGTCAGCGACAGCATCATCATCAGCATCACCAGAATCGTAATCATCAGAATCATGAGCATCAGCATCACCAACAGCATGAGCATCATCATCATGAGCAGCATCAATCATCACTATCTGCATAATGAGCAGCATCAGCATCATTATCACCATCACCACCATCATCAGAATCAGCATCATCAGCAGCATGAGCATCGTCACCACCATCATGAATCATCAGCAGCAACATCATCATCATCATTAACATCAGCATCAGCATCATCATCATACCTCACTTCCTCCCTCCCTCCCATCCCCCCCTCCGCCTTCCCTCCTTCTGTCTCCCTCCTCCCTCCTTCTTTTCCTCCTCCTCCTCGTCTTCCTCCTCCTCTTCCTCCTCCTCTTCCTCCTACTTCTCCCTCCCTCCCTCCCGTTCTCCGTCCCACCCTCTCTCCAGAAGAGCTATTATAACTAATTCCCCATGTTTGCAACCTCAATGTGTCCAGAGGCTTGGCTGAGCGTTTCGCCTGAGACGCCCTCGCCACGTATTGTCCTAAGCCTTAAGCTTACATGCTGCAACGGTTTCAGATATGGAACAGTCTTTTTCAAGATGTGGGTTTCGCCTCAGCGCCGCGAACATGCGTGCAGGTTCCTCTTGAACTTTTGAACATGTTGCTCTCGTCTTGGCGCCGCGCACATGTTTCTTAAAAGATCACAACAATTTGAAGAAATCGTGGAGTTGAAATCTCAGGAACGCGTTCTGGCACGATTTAGGATTGCTCGGACGCGGCAGTCACGTTTATTCGACGTGTTGAAGTCACAAGAATGGCATTCTGGCACGATTTAGGAGTGTCAGGTTTAGTTGTCGCGTAAACGTCTCAAGAATGGTGCGTTGGCACAATGGAGAAGTGAGATACAGTTGTCGTTCACTGATGCCCGTTCCGCAATGACATAAATCATTACAGGGACTCATCATCATCATCATCATCATCATCATCATCATCAGCAACATAATCATCATCAGCATCATCATGATAAGCATCAGCAGCAGCATCAGCATCAGCATTATCAGCAGCATCATCGTCAGCAGCAGCATCATCACCAGCATCAGCATCGTAATCATCATCAGCAGCATCATCATCAGCATCATCATCATCATGTTCATCATCATCGCCCCTTCTCCCTCCTCCCTACTCCCTACTCCTCCTCCTCCTCCCTCCTCCTCCTCCTCCTCCTCCTCCTCCTCCTCCTCCTCCTCCTCCTCCTCCCTCCCTCCCTCCTCCCTCCCTCCTCCCTCCTCCCTCCCCCCCCTCGTCCCCTACCCTCCACCCTCCACCCTCCCCCCTTCTCCCTCAACCCTCCTCCCTCCTCCCTCCACCCTCCATCCTCCTCACTCCCCCCTCCCCCCTCCCTTCCCCCCCCTTCTCCCTCCACCCTCCTCCTCAGAAGACTGCTGGGCGGGGGGAGGCGGCGGCGGTTGGCGCTGGGGCGCGCTCGGGCGGATCGGCCGCGGTGGGACGGGACCGCGCCTGCGGCTCCGCGAGCGGTCCCTGCGGCTCCGCGAGCGATCACCCCTGCGTCGGTCCCTTCGGCGCGCGAGGGGCGAGGGGTATCGAGAGAGGGGAAAGTCGAGCCAGTGGCGGCCCTCCCTGGCGTTGCTCGCCCGTGCTGGGCCTCCCGGAGGCCTCGTCGCCACGGCCGGATCCACCTCGAGAAAGAACGGGCCAGGCTGGACCCTGCGAGTGGTCCAGGGACCGAATTGAAGCAGGGGGCGGGGTAGAAGAAGTGTGAGGCGGAACGAGAAGGGCGGGGACTAGCTCGGGGGGCCTTGACTTGGAATCGACGATGCATCGCCGATATGTCGGCCGCAGGCTCTCGATGACGGAACCGCACGTGCGGGTGCAGGCTGGGGACCCCAGGCACTGACGGGTGAAGAATTGGCGATTGGGGTTCGGTGCCCCTGACGAGGCCCCTGAGGGGACCTGCGAGGATCGGCGAAAGACAACGGCGAGTGGCCTGGCCGAAACATGGTCGGCATCATGATCGCCGAAATCACCTGTCGCATGAGCATCATCCCCATCATCTGCAACATCACCCACAACAACACCGCCATATTCATAGTCAGAGTAATACACACCATCATCGCCAGTATAGCAATCGTCAACATCATTAGCATCATCAGCAGCATTATCAGCATCATCGTCACCACCACCACCACCACAATCATCACCATCATCATCAGCATCATCATCAGCCGCAGCATCAGCATATCATAATTGTCAGCATTGTCAGAAACATCAGCACCATCACCATCATCAGCATCATTATCCTCAGCATTATCATCATCATGAGCATCAGCATCATCAGCATCGGAATCATCATTATCATCATCATCGTCATCGTCATCAACAGCGTCCTCGGCAACATCACCAACAGCACCACCATATACAGCACCACCCACATCGTCATTACCATCGGCACCCCCATACTCGTCAGTATCCCATTGAACAACAGCATCATCAGCATCATCGACATCGTCGTCATTAGCATCAGCCTCATCAGCATCCTGAACACCATCATCTGTATCGCCATCATCCTCATCATCAGCATCAGCATAAACAGCAGCAGCATCATCATAACCAGCCTAAGCATCACCATCATCGCCATCATCGCCATAATCAGCATCAACAACAGCGTCGTCGTTAGCATCATCATCATCATCATCAGCAGCAGCAGCAGCATCACCATCTCCAGCACATCCCCGTCGTCATTACCATCAGAACCGTCATAATAGTCAATATCGGTATCGTTATGAGCAACATCATCGTCATCATCATCGGCATCAACAACACCATCAAAACGAGTTATCATCACCATCGTCACCATCATCTTCATCGTCGTGTCAAAGTCATAATCACCGTCATAGTCAACACCATCATCGTCAGCATCCTGATCATCATCGTCGTCCTCATCGTCACATTTTCAGCATCATCCTCGTCATCATCGTCAGCATCATCATCATCACCATCATCATTATCGCCATCATCATCATCATTATCATCATCGTCAGCACCATCATCGTCATCACCGTCGTCATCATCAGCAGAATCATCTGCATCATCATAAGCATCATCGCCACAAACATCGTTAGCGTCATCATCGTCATCAGCAGCAGCATTGCCATCGTCATGACCATATCATCCTCAGCATAAGCATCACAATCATCATCAACTCTTCAAATATCAACACAACCAGAATGATCACCGTCATCATCTGCATCAGTATCATCTTCATCATATTCATCAGTATCATCATCATCATCATCATCATCATCATCATCATCATCGTCCTCATCCATATCATCATCAGCATCATCACCAAAACAAGCATCATCATCAGCAGCAGCATTATCAGCATCATCATCATCAGCACCATCATCACCACCACCACCACCATCATCATCATCATCATCATTGTCGCCTTCGCCCCCGTCACCCGACGGGCCATCACCACCGTTGATATGCGTTCGCCTCTTGATTCCTCGCCCTCGTAAGCCAGTTCTTGCTCATCCTCCTCCCGGCACCCAAGGAAAACGAGGTCCGCAGCACCCCAGGGACAACTGGGCCCAAGGAGGGATAGCCAGCAGCGGTCCCAAGGGACTCAGCCGCACAACGCCGCGCCTCTAAAGTGAGGAGAGGCTAGCGCAAAGCGCCCCTCCCCGCCGCGCTGTTCAAGCACACGCGAAGGCACATCCAAGTGGACGTCACAAGTCGCCCATCGTTGAAATAGAAATCAAACGAAAGGAAAGAAGCGTGCTGTGCCAGCAACCTGCTACAGGAGAGCACAGAATCACGCCCAGGCCGTCTTGCCCCCGACGACCGCTTGCGATCATGTGTTGCCAGCAGACAGGCGCGGACGAGGTGCGCAAGCTTCTTGATGTCAGGGCGAGGTGGGGGCCCAAGAACCCAATGCGCCCCCAAGCGCCCGCGGCTGGAAGGGAACGCAGTGCTCGCGGAGGCCGCACGGGGAGGGAGCGCGGGCGCGAACGGCGACGCGCGACATCTTTCGCGTTCGCCCTCCTCGCTCGTTCGCCGCACCTGCGGCGACTAAGGTCAACCTTCTCAGAACGCTGCGCCCCGTCGCGGGGCCGCCCGGCAACACGGTGCCGCGGCCCGCACGCGGTGGCCACGGCGCTTGCCAGCAGCGCCCGCGCTGGCGGAACTCATTCAAAATGTCCCTGTGGCGAGATCACCGGCTACCAACTCGCCGGGCAGCAGCGAGCGGGCGGGCGAGGCGGCCGCCACCCAGAAGTGTGGCATTTTTGGGGGCCAGGACTGCGCTGCCTGCTCTGCCATCGTGCCCTCGCGCTTTCGGAGCCGTGCTGGCCAAGCCGTCGGCCTCGGCCACCCCTCTCGCCTCGTCGACCAGCACGGCGCACCGTGGGGCGCCTGTCTCGCTAGCGGATCTGGGCGTCCTCCTCCCACGCCGCCGTCCGCGGTACGCCACTCGTCCTCGCGGCCAAGCCGCACGACACCTCGGCCTGCAGCGCCACCGCGGCATCCTGGCCAGCGGCTCACCCAGCGGCGGCGGCGGCTGCGGCGGCGGCGGGCCGCACCCCAGACGCGCGCGGCGGCGGTGGCCCGCGGTCACGGACAGGGGGCCCGAGCCATGTCCGACAGCAGTCGGGCAAGGGCCCCAGCGCCTCGGCGGGCAGCGCGGCCCGCGAGCGGCCGTCAGCGACGGGGCTGTTGCCCGTGGCACCGGCGTCGTCGTTCACCGGATCGGCCAAATGCCCGCGCGGCTGCCACCCCTCTGCACGCCTCTGCGGGCGAGACCCGCCCGTCGCCCAGCGCGGGATCAAGGAGCCGGCCTGGGGGGTCCATCAGAGCCAGCGGCACAAAAGAGACGGCCCACGAGGCACGGCCAGCGGCGGCGCCCCACCCACCACGGCCACTGCCCAAGCTGCTCACGTGGGCGCCCAGATCGCATTGCGCATGACGTGAACGCCTCGCTTTAATGCGTCCGCGTCTCATAGCTCCCCATCCTGAAATGTCTTCTCTGTGTGCGCCGCTGCGCCGCTAAGAACACCAGATTTCTGCGATGATCGTTTCCTTCTGCGCTCCCGTCATCTCGGGCAGTCCACCCTCCCTGTACATGGCTATGTCCTCACCCAATCGCGGCACACTGGACGAAGCACTGCGCATGTTTCGGACACGGCACCTGGGCCCATGCCGTCAGCTCCCTGCAAACACCCACGTCGAAGACTGAGATGCTGGCCATCTACGGGCTCAGCATCCACGCGCCCACGCCTACCACGGGACAGACCTTGTGACTGGCCAATAACCCTCCCAACCACACGTGAGGCGGCTTGGCGCATCAAGAGTGACGCGCGGCTGGCTCAACCCGCGGCAAGTGGTGGAGGATCCCCCTCCCGACTCTACCTTGAATGTCCAAGGCGCAATCCGTGCACATGTTCGTCAGGTGCACAATCTCGGACGCGAGACGATCGCAGTGGCAGCACATCGCCCGTCCGATGTTGCTCGCCGATCGTATCGAAGCACGTGCCGAAGGCCCTGTTGAGTGTACTGAGCGCGGGAGATGACGCAGGACCACCTGTCTGTCCTGACCGCACAAGAGCCCCGTTCACAGATCCAAAGAGATGAGGGCCATGCAGGCGCCGTTGGCACCCGACTTGCAGGCACGATAGAGAAACGTCACGCGCGAACCTCCCGAATGAGAAAACTTGACCTGTATGGGCCACCGACTTGCGAGGCTACTGCAGCGCCAGATTTCGACAGAGCTTCCTGCTGCAGCGAGTTGCAAATCTCGCTCTGCACTTGGCCTACCCATCGCTCGAACAAAATTGGATTCATGCTGCTTGGTGACGCCTACATCGGCTCCGACAAAACACTACCCCTATAACTCTCTAATGCACTCCTTGCGGGCCACGGACACTTCCAGGTCCGCGAAACCTGCACCAGCGATGCTTGCAACAGGCACCAACGAGCTGATAGCGCTCTTCAACTGGATACGCACGAGGGCCATGCATCCATTCGCCGCCCTCGCCTGTCTTGGCACCTCATCTTGACTGTCAGGTCCTCGGGCTGCTCCGTGGAAAGGTGGAGGTGGTCCGGGCCCAGGAGGCTGTCCGCATCCGAATCGACCGCGGCGGCAGTGGCGGCGGTGGCAAAAGGTCTTGGGAGTCCGTGCCGCCAACGATCGCGGCAACGCGCACCGCGTCGTCTTCGTCCCGCTTGTCGTCGAATCTGATGAACGCGCCGACGCCCTGCAAGCCCGCTGTCAAACTCGCCTGGTCGGTAATCGAGGCGATGACCGTATCCTGGAGTCCGTTGCCGCGTTTGCCTTGGCTTGCCGCTCCCCTGGTACTCTTGATCACGCTGGCACGCGTTTGAATCCACCTCCCCCTGCCCCTCCTCCTCCGCCCCTCCTCCTCCTCCTCCTCCTCCTCCTCCTCCTCCTCCTCGTCCTCCTTTCTCTTTTACGATGTTCCTGCTTCTCCTCCTGTTCTTGCTGCGCCTCCTCACTCCTCCTCCTCCTCCTCCTCCTCCTCCTCCTCCTCCTCCTCCTCCTTCGATGTTCCTCCGTACCCCTTCGTCCCCCCATAGAGAAAGGAAGAACACCAGGATTGAGAAAGAGAAGAGGACGCAGACCGAGAGAGGAGGAAGGGAGGTCGTAGAAGGTGGGAGGGCTGAGAAGAGAGGGGGAGGAGGAGGAGGAGGAGGAGGAGGAGGAGGAGGAGGAGGAGAAGGAGGAGGAGGAGGAGGGGGAGGAGGAGGAGGAGGCAGAACAGAGCAAACCAAGACTGCCAGCGAAGCTGCAACGAACCCTCCCGCCCCAAGGCTGCTCTTCATTATTTAGTATTCCGTTACACGACGGTAAACCCTCTCTGCAGCCGAGGGCCCCATGGCGCTGCTGGAGTAAAACGAGCCCTGTGTTGAAAACAAGCCGCTCTGCATATTTCTACGTGCCCTCCAGTCGTGTAATTCGCACCTTTTACACATAGTGCCATCCATCAAGCTCAAACCAGCCCTCTGGGCATACGCACATGGTCTAAAGGTGTTCGTGTTCTCTCTTTCAAAACCACGTCTTCCCCTTCGGGGATGGCTTTATCACTGCTTCCTATAAAAATACACCCCCTCCCCCAGGCGACTGGGAGCCAACCAACAACAATACGGGCACCCCCCCACCATCCCTTGTAAAAAACTATACAAAAAAACACTCTGCCTCCAAATTCGGAGCATGCGCAGCCAACCCGATGCGGCCTCCCCCCACCATCCCTGTCCAAAAAGCAGTACAGAGTACACTTGGCGGCGGCGGCGGCGGCTGCGGCGGGGGCAGCGGCTGCGGCGGCTGCGGCGGTGGCGGCGGCGGCGGTGGCAGCGGCGGCGGCGGCGGCGGTGGCGGCGGCGGCGGGGTGGCGGCGGCAGCGGCTACGGCGGCAGCGGCTGCGGCGGCGGCGATTCGGCAGCGGGGCGGCGGCGGGGGGCGGCGGCGGCGGCGGCGGCAGCGGCGGCGGCGGCGGCGGCGCGGCGGCGGCGGCGGGCGCCGACGGCGCCGGCGGAGGCGTCGGCGGCGGCGGCGGATTGGCTCCCAGTAGCTGCCCATCCAAAGACGACTGCTGAATATGCTGAGGCTCGGGCCAGGCTCGGGTGCTACGTATGTGTTGGGAGGGCGGGTGGGAGTGAGCGAGACGGCTTGCGGGCGGGGAGGGAGTCTTGACCTTCCGCCTACCCCCTCCGAGGGGTCTGGACGGACGGGGGTGGCGGGGGCACGATGGGTTAGAGGGTCTTTCTTCGCACAAGATGGCTCCGAGCGGGACTCCAAGGCTCTAAGATGGCATCCAAGGCGGCTGAAGATAGCCGAAGATCGGCCCCAAGAGGGCCACAAGACGGACCCAAGTGCTACTGGAGCCCCCCAAGGACCCCCCAAGAGGCCAAAATCCTGCAAAACCCTAAGGAAAATCAAAGACGGTTACCTTATCAACTATTCGCTTCCGATGGGTTTCTGGGCCTCAACATGGCCCCAAGATGACCAAAGAGAGCTCCAGGAAGGGCCCAAGAGGCCCCCAAGACGGCACCAAGAGCGCCCACGAGGGCCCCAAGATACGAATATGATGGTACTGAGGGGGAGACCGAAATCGAGGACCCCTCTCTCTTGATCGACGCCTTCCAAAATGACCCTAAGAGGCCCTCCAAGGCTCCCAAGAAGCCCCAGAAAGGGCTGCAAGAGGGCCCACAGAAAAAGCCCCACGAGGACATCAAGACCCTCCAACATAGCCCCAAGAGCGCCCCAAGAGTGCCACAAGAGGGCCGCGAAGGAGCCCCAAGAGGACCCTGAGAGGACCTCCAGAAGACCCCAGGATGGCTGCCAGAGTCTTCGTCCCCCTCCTCCTCCTCCTCCTCCTCCACTTCGTCCTATTCCGCATCATCATCCTCATCGTCCTCCTCCTCGTCCTCCTCCTCGTCCTTCTCCTCCTCTTCCTCCTCTTCCTCCTTCTCGTTCTGGCCCTCGTCCTGGGTCTTTTCAGGCTGACCCAAAACTTGTTCAACTGCATGCCTCTTCACTGTCCTGATCAAGGCAACTCGCCTGGGCATCATTTCTGGACGGGCTGGTGGGGATCTTCGAAGCGCCAAGAATTCAATCCGGCTCAAGCGAAGGCCCATCCTGGAAAATGCTCGGTTCGTTGAAGACTCATGTGCGCGGCGCTACGGCGAGAACCACAGTTTGCAAATACCTCGCCATCCATCCATGTAAGTCCTGGAGACGCTGAAGACGAATGTGCGCGGCACAACGGCGTGAGCCACATCTTGAAGACGGCCCGCCCTCCATCCCTGGAGCTGTTGGAAAATTCTGGGTTCAAGATCGCAAACGGTGGGAACGTTGCGAGCGAAACCCCAGTCCTGCGCTAACGACGAGTCTGGAGGTGCGACAGGGAGGAGCTCCGTGCAGGCAAGAGAGATGCTACAGGAAGACGGTAAAAGCGGGATAATGAAGAAGAGAGGAGGGAGGAGAGGGGATATGAACGATAAGGGGGCGAGCAGAAGCAATAATGTGAGGAGCACGGAGGGGGAGGAGAAAGGAGAGAAGCAGGGAGCGTACGGTTGGCTCCTACGCGACAACTCGCGCGTTGGTCTCTGACGCCGCGTGGATCGTTCAACCTCGAATGATCGCGGCTTTCTGATAACACAGATCGGCAGATAACTTTGCCAACCCCAGGCCACTGCCAGCGTTCAACCCTGAACGCCTGCGCATGCGCATGCAGCGCGCGTCCGTGCGCTCACGCGCCGACTCGAAAGTTAGCGCTGCGGCGCCACGTGGCGAGATCAAAACTTCACGCGCGCTGCTGTGCCGCGCCATCCCACGGCGCAGAAGCTGAGGGCCGCCGCCGCATCAGCGCGGCGCGAAAACCCAATGGAGCAGCGGCAGCGGGGAAGTAGAGGAGCATGAGGACCTGCCGTCGTCCTTGTCGCGGTCCCTGTCGCGGTCCCGGTCCCGGTCGCGGTCCTCGGCAGGCGCGCGGGACAAAGGGCCCCAGGCGGAGGGAGAAGGGGAAGACGAGAGCAAAGGAGAGGAGGGGAACAGAGGAGGAGAGGGGAGGAGAGGGGCTAGAGCAGATGAGAGGAGAGGTGAGCAGAGGAGGCAAGGAGAGGAGGAGGAGGAGGAGGAGGAGGAAGAAGAGGCGGAAAAAGAGGAGAGGGGAGGGGAGTGGAGGAGAAAAGCTGCCAGCGACGTGTGTGTGTGTGCGAAGGGTGAATACATGAGAAGGGGGCCCATCGTTGCCCTACCCACCCCTCCCCTGTCTGCCCTCTTTGTCCTGCCTGCGGATATGACTCTCCGTCCTGGCAAAAAGCCCTGGATCACTTGAACTACAAGGCCATCAGAACCCACCGCCTGATGGAAAGCGTGGACCTCTAAGAGGACCCACCAGAAATCGCCACGCAAATTGACGACTGCCAAGACCCTCGCGCCTCTCAGGCTGTGCTTGTCCGCCACCCTGTCCCCGCTACGACCGAGCCAGTTATGCATGCGCGCTCGTTCCTCCTCTCCTCTCCCCCATCCCCCTCCCCGTCACCCCTGCCGTCCTCCTTGTCCACCCCTCGCATGCGCGGACGACGGTCTGCACCTCACCGCGATCGCCAATCCCGGTCTGGCGCCATCGCTCAACATTGGAGCGACGAAAAGAAGCAGGTCTTACGCGAGAAGACATAGCCACCTTGCGCCGCGGCTTGCGCGGGCCGCCGATGGCACACCGCATGGAGAAGAGGGCGCTTACGCGCGGCCTTGAGCGGTAAGCTGACGCGCGAATGTCGGCGCAGTCGGCCCTGTTTTGTTCCGTCGGCTTCTCTGACGGCGGCCGCTGGTCGGCTCGATGTTCACCGCCTGACAAGCATGGGGGAGCAAAAAGCGGCATTAATAACACCCCGCCGTGGGGAGCCGACCAGCAAGTTACTTCTGAAATGGCACCAAGTTACATGATCATTCTGGGGACCTTCCGGGAGCCACTCGCTCTACTCGTGCGTCGAAGCTGCGTCGAACGTCCGTCGACTTGAGTCGAACTTGAGTCGAGCCTGAGTCGAACCCGAATCAAAACTGAGTCGAACAGATCCGTAAGGGGCCCCAAAACGACCATCTAAACCAGGCTTTCAGACAAAAAACGACGGAGTAACACGCCTACGCCAACGGCGGCGCATCATGGATACTCTCTTCCCCTGCCGACCGCCTGACAGGCAGGGAGCCGGAGCGCGAAAGCCTCCTGGCATTGTCTATGACCGACCTCCGCCCGCTGCCTGTCGCACGGGCGCACGGCCTCTCCGGTAGAGAGCGCTCTGCCACCAGACACGGAGAATAAGTTCGAACCCTGCGGCGCAAGATGCCCCTCTGGACCCTCAAGCCTGACATCGAGGGTGCGGCAATGCAGAGGGCATGGGTGGACAGAAATACTCGCACCCCCCAACCACCACCCACGCGAAAATCAATATTGATTTCGGGGGCGGGGGGGGAGATGAACGTCCCAATGTGTGTGAGGGTTCGGATATGTTGTCCATGTACTAGGGTACTCTGCCAACTCCGCTCCGCGTGCAGGGAATAGGAAGAGCGACAGAAGCATCCGACAGAGAAAGGCGAGTGCCCCCTTTTGTTCACCTACCACCCCGCCACCCACCATGGCACGCTCAGATATCCCTCATCCTTCTTCCTGGTTCCTGTTCTTCGTCAGCTCCCCCCTCTTCCTCCTCCTTCCATCTCAGCTTGACGTAAAGATCCGTTTCTCTGACTCCAGCCTGGCATACCACAGCAGAGCCCGAGTGAGCTCCCAATTTGATTTGCCGCGAGGGGCCCAAACCTCTGCGAGCAGCGACGTAAACGCTCCTTGTCGCGCTCCTGAACGCGATCCTTCTCGCTGTCCTTCGCGGTATCCTGCGCGGTATCCTGCGACAAGCAGCTGAACAACTGGCCAATGATAGAAAAGTGATGTCACTCTACCTGTATATCACTCGCTCCTCCTTGACGATGCTAGGAAGCATGTGCTGAACAAAGATATGTGCTTACACAATTATCTATATGTATATGCATACATTATGCTGGTTTGTGTATTCAAGTACATATACAAATACGCATACCTCTCCATATACATATACAGATGCACATACATGTACATATACGTATACAAATACGTTTACCTTACACATACCTCTTCATGTGCATACGCACATATACACCTATATAAACATACACATGTATATATATATATATACACATGCATACACACATGTTCATACATATGTAAATGGATAGATACATACAACTGGAACTGAAGATAAGCAGATAGATACGTTCACATGCACATACACCTGTACGCATATCTATGTATAGTTAGACAAATATATGTACAGTGCACTTACACATACGCGGTGAAATATTGATGCATATGCGCCTGAAAGTAAACACACATACACATACGTATACACATACACATGCATGCTAATATACACGTAGATATGCAGTTACAAGCACGTGCACGTGTACATATATAGACACCTGGACACATAATTGTACAGATACGTATGCATAAACATATACATGGACATATGCATATACAACAACGTATACATATACATCGATATACACGTATGCATATGCAAACGCACATGTACATATGTATGTATATACGTATGCATGTATGTATACATGTACATATAGATGTGCATGTGAATACACACCTTCATGTACATTTACATATGCACATGTGTACATACATATAGATATACACTTACATCCCTATATGTGTGTGCGTAGACATATACAGATGCCTATACATATGTATGTTCATGTACACAATTACCTACACATCTGCATATACATATGCATATGCATATACCTTTACATATACACATACATGTTCATGTCCATCGACAAATACATGTATCTATGCGTACACACATCGGTAGATACTAGAAGCATCGCGCGCACTTCGCGCGCGCTCATATTCTAGCGCAGGCCTCGGGGTCACCCGAAAAACGCTATTATACACAAACGCGTGCCAGAGTTGTACTCATCTGCACCCTCATCCTCACTGTCATACTCCTCATCATCATGTTCCTCGTCAAGATGACCATGATCATCATCAACATGGGGAGCGTCCTTGCCCCAGTTCTGCAAGTATTGCTGTCACGTCAAACTCCCGTGTAATCATCGCCCTCGTCTTGATCCCCATCCTCATCACCATCGTCACTCTCAATTCCATCAATATCACCCTCAACACCGCTATGCTGGCAGTGCACTTCGTCACTGTCATTGTCTTACTCCCCATCATCCTCAATATCACCAGAATGAACATCAACATCGTCATCGTCGTCATCGGCCCGATGTTCCCGGAGAGGCCTCCCCGACCGTCCGGCCGACTGCGCGCCTCGGCGACTCTCTTGGAGGCGTTTGGGGGGGTTGGGGGAGGCGGGCTCTTGGAACGTCTTGGAAGGTTCTCTCGGGCCCTCCTGGGTCGTGTCGGGAGCCCCCTGGACCGTCTGGAGGGCATCTGAAGGCCTGACAGGCCCGCCCATCCAAAGCGAAAAGGCGAGTTCTCAGAACCTGTACTTTCCCATTGGTTACTGATCGATTTGGACGCCCTGTTGGACTCTTGGAAGCCTCTTGGCGGCATTTTGGACGCCTCTTGGGGGACTCTTTGTGCTGCCTTGGGGGGACTCGAGGGGGCTTCGCAGGATGCATTAGGGCGCTCTTGGCCCGTCTGACGCCTTCGGAAGCCGTCAGCCTCGGTTCTTCGAGATCGGGTGGGTCATTATGTGAGGCTCTTGTCGGCTCTTGGAATCATTTTGGTGGCCTCGGGGGCTCCTCTTGAGGCTCTCGGGCAAGTTTGGGCCTTCCCGCAAAATCAGAGGCGGCCGCTGGATTGCGGAGAAGGAGTCAGAATCATCATCTTTCATGATGATGGCATACAACATATTGGTAACCATCGACATTATCAGGAACATCTGCTTCCTCAGCATCTTCAGCATTACCGTCTTCAGAAAGTACGTCGCCCTCAAACTTAACATCGCTATCGTCACGAACTCCATAGACTGTATCATCATCACAACCACCACCACCAGCACCATCATCATCATTTTCAGCATCATCATCATCAGCAGCAGCATCAGCATCATCATCATCATCATCATCATCATCATCATCAGCAGCAGCAGCATCAGCATCAGCATCAGCATCATCATCATCATCATCATCATCATCATCATCATCACCATCACCATCACCATCACCATCACCATCATCATCACTATGAGCATCCTTACCATCATCATAACAATCGGCATCATCATCATAACTATCATCATCATATTCATCATCATCATCATCATCATCATCATCATCATCATCATCATCATCATCATCATCATCGTCACCATCATCATCATCAGTATCATCATCATCATCATCATCATCATCATCATCATCATCATCATCATCATCATCATCATCGTCATCGTCATCGTGATCATCAGCATCATCATCGTCATCAGCATAGCGAGGCGATAGAATCGTATTCCCCAGTCGGCCGTCACTCGCGAGTCGGTCGGCGGGGCCAGCCATTTGGCCAGCCTCGGACTGTGGTGCGGCCTCACGCCTGCATTGTCGCTGGGCGCTTCGGTCTCGGCACCGCCCGACACCTCTCGTGTTTGAGAGTGCATGTACAGTGCTCGATCAGGTCAGAATCTCGATTTTTGTTGCATAGGCCGAGAAGGAGGAGCCGCCATCGTTGGCACCAGATACACAGGGACTGATGGAGCTGGACGAATTGATTCATCATTACCACCATCATCATCACCACCACCACCACCATCATGCTCATCAGCATCGTCACCACACTCATCTTCATCATCCATATTAACAGCATCACTTTGACCATATCACAGCAATCACCATCACGACTTGTGAATCCATCATCGTCATTCTCATCTCCATCATCATCAGCATTTTCCTCACGCTCAGCAGCAGCATCAGCATGATGACCAACACCATCAGCCAAATCATCATCAGCATCAGCACCAGCATCAAGACCAATCTCATGCATCTGCATCAGCAGCAGCACCATCACAATCACCATCACAAGCACCGCCAGAGTCATCATCATCACCATCATCATCCTCATCCTCATCATCAGCAGCAGCATCGTCATCAGCACCATGAACATCATGATCCGCATGATCATCATCATCATACAATTCCTATCATCATCAGTATCATCACCATCGTCGTCATCATCAGCATCATGATAATCATCACCCGTATCAGCATCAGCAGCATGATCATCATCATCATCAGCATCATCGTCATCATCATCATATCCATAATTATCAGCATCTTCCTCACACTCAGCAGCGGCATCAGCATGATGATCAACACCATCAGCAGAAGCATCATGAGCATCAGCACCAGCATCAACACCAGCATCATGCCTCTGCATCAGCAGCAGCACCATCACCATCTCTATCACCACCACCGCCAGACTCATCATCCGTCTTACCTCTGAGAATCGGGGTAAGATGACAAAGGAATTAAGATATTATGTTCACTCTGCTCAGGGAGAGAGGGGACGGGATGAGACATTGATAAGACAAGTATCCGCTAAGCAAGACTACTCTATCAGGAATGTGAAGGGAGGAGGCCGGCTGGCCAACGACCGACGACGCACGACGGCCGAGGGCTGGCGCTCCTTTTCTCTCCTGCAAGCCAAGGTTGGCTTGTTCGAGCAGTCATACAGCTGCGGAACGCAGCTGTTAGTTCCAGCGGACAGTGCAATGCATGCAAACAAAGTTATGTCTTAATTGAAAATGAGGCGGAGAGGAGCTCATCCACTCCCCCCGCGGCGGGCCGCGCAGAGCCCATCCAGCCACAGCGCCCCCGGCCTGTACATCTGCAAAACCACCGGAGCCAACCCGGAAAAGCTTTTACAGCTAAACGGTGGCTGCCAGGGGGCCAAGGGTCGAAAAGGCTCGACGTTCCCCACCATTGTGATAAATAAAATCTCTCCGCTGGACCGGCTTAGCCGACCAGCAGAGGTGTTCGCATCCAACACGCGTTCCGCGCGTTGATAAAATTGTATTGCATGCGCCTGCCGCGACTGAGTCACGCGGGCGAAACTCAGTTCAGGTCCTGCCACGGGTTGGGCTCGTCCTCTTCTCTGGGCGGCGCCGCAGGCGGCGGGTTTGACGACGCCGATCCTCCCGTCTGCACCTCCACGCCACGAGGCGTGCGAGACCGCCCTCTTTCCTTTTCAGCGTCGCTCATCGATGCTGCCCCTCTTGGCGGGAAGCGGAAGCCGTGCTCCCATGTTGATAGCTCGTGCCAGTAATTCAGAGTGCACCACTCGGCGTCGGTAAGCCACGTGATCCTGTTCCGATGGACGTAGTACCCGGCGAGGGTTCCGTTCACGTAGCGCGGGTAGGACTTGGACGGGTCGTACTCGTAGCTGTTGTCCGCAGCACTGGTGGCAGCATTCGCGGCCGCACCTGCGGCAGCATCCATGGCCGCGTCGGCGGCAGCATCCATGGCCGCGCCGGCGGCAGCATCAATGGCCCCATCGCGCGCGTCGTGAATCCGACCGATCCCTCATGCTGGGATGTTGAGGGCATGTCTCCCTGGTCGTCGCGGCTGAGCCGGCGACTGAACGCGGGGATACGGTGGCTTCTTCGGGCACCCGAGCGTCTGAGACGCCAGGTCTAAGAGGCGGAGGGCGCGATAAAGGTCTTGCCTTTGGTCCAGCCGGCGCCCGTGGCCCCAAAATCTCGGCTTCGCCGTCGCGGTCGGGATTGTTATCCCTACGTTCGTTCGTGATTTGCATTATACTCCTGGCAGCAGTCGCTGCGGCGACACCATACTTTCCGCACGCAGTACGGAAGGGCCCATAATCTTTGTCC